TCGCACCACTCCCTCTGACTATCTAGATATCTATACACAATTGAAGCAAGGACACATGGATTTATGTTCGGAACAATGGTGTTAAGAACTGGATGTAGTGGTTAAGGGAGTTTAGTTGGTCATATTGTCCTCCAGAGATTAAAACTGAGGCCATTATAGATAAACATCTGCACTCCAAAAAAAGCAAGCTTACAAGAAGGAACCATCCACAAGGAAGGTACCCTGTGAACTCTAGCCCCAGTGCCAACTTGTTTGTTGGAGATGTCCCATGAATGGCAGTCAGCTGGAGCTTATTCCATAACTTAAGCATAGCAATATCAAAGAAATGTTTCAAGCAAGACTAGCCAGAAACTTGACTGCTTTGGAAGGGAAAAGTGGGTGAAGATCTGAACACTATAGCTCTGTTTTCAGCCTCAGATGCCATGTCTAAAAATCAGTCATCACAGGCTATATCTCCATGTCTGAATAGCAATATAAACTCTCAAAAAGAAAAAACGGTTCGTGTGGCTTACTTCGCTTTAGATATATTTGAATGTGTACAGAAGAGAAGCACGTCTCTAATCAGTTTAAAAGAACAAAACAAACCTCTTCATAAATTCTCCGGAGAAAAGAAGCACATTTCACTGCTTCTTGTACTTTCCATGCAAAGTAACTTCTCCGACAACTGTAGAAGTATCTACCATCTCCAAACAATGAGAAAGAACAGAAACCGAATTTCAAGTAGAGCAACACACTGCTCAGTCTCACTACAAAATTCCATAAATCAATGTGATTAATATCATATGAAAAAGAGGGGAAAGAGAAAAAAAAAAGGCAACAAAAATACTCAAATGAATTTGTAATTATGGTTAAAAATCAAGAGGGAGGCATACTTTTTGTGATGCTTAAGGACAGTAACAGTAATCGGCAACATGCAGCAAATAAATCTATCGAGAACTGTCGGTCCACAACACAGGAATTTCATGCCTTCTACAATGTCAGTATCTTGATTATCCAATAACCTCAGAGAATAGGTACAGCAGGAGCTTCAGAAATTCTAAGCTGGAAAAATTCTGAAATAGTGCAGCTGGTATGCGCAAGGACTGCCCAACTTGGCAGGAATCCAATTGGTACATAGCATGTTTTCCTAAAACTCTTGTAAGTACCTCGACACACATAAGAATGACTGATCCCGGATCAGGATCAGCATTACCTTTATTAGAATATATTTGTTATAGAAGATCAATGGACCCTGCAAGTGTAGAATGATGTTGAACAGGCAGGCAACTAAGCTCTGAATGTGTCTTTTAACAACACTCAAACGTTTGCGTCCTACAAAGCAAGTTGACATCAGAATAATGGTGCAGTTGACACCAAAGAGAACATGCACTGATAAAAACAATCAGTAAACATGAAGACACCATTTTCAAGAACACCACACTGTCGATGTAAACATCAATGCTGTTAAAAACATCCACATCCAAATGATTGTCCACATGCAACCAAAACAAACTCATTCCAAATGCCATGGGAAACTACATTGCTCAGTTTCAAATGTTATAAACAGATGGAATGGATGATATAGATTGATTTGATGTGAAGACATGCAATTCTGTTAAAACCTACCATCACCTACTCCACCTACGACACCTACCACCACCTACTACCACCTACTACACACCTACCACTACCACCTACTACCACCTACTCCACTACATCTCCTATATAAGGAGCCCCTCACCATTTGTAATTAATAAACATACATCAATCAATAATACATCAATTTTAACATGGTATCAGAGCAGGTTTAGAATCTAGTATTTTCGCTTCCCCGGCGGGCGGCAACCTCACCTTAGCCGCCCGCCGGACCTCAACCTAGTCTGCTTGTTTTTTTACACATACCTTCTTCCATAATTAAGCTCTTCTCTGCCTTTACAATGGCTGCCAACGAAGACCAAGTTTTTCCATACCCATCCTCCACACAGACCACATACCAGCTCATATACACAAGAGATGCTTGATATCTCTCTCTCTCTCTCTGCACCCGGTCTCTCTCTCTCTGGCATGAACTGGTTCGAGATGAAGAGATCACACGCACACACACATGCATCTGCTCTCGGGCTCTCTCTCTCTCTCCATCACATGCAAGCAAATCTCTTCAAAACTGCCATGGACGCTGCTGCTGTTCGAGGGAAATCTCTCTCTCGCCTTTTCTCTTTCACCCTCCTTTCTTCGTCACTCAGCCCAGCCCCCACAGACTTCGGAGAGAGAGGAAGAGAATCACATGGCTTCTTCCACCTCCATCTCCCTCATGCTGCTCCTCATCGCCGTCGTCGCTGGCGCATCATCGGCGATCACTTTTTCCGACGAGAATCCGATCAGGACAGTCGTATCGGACGCTCTTCTTCGCGGACTTCGAGACCTCCGTTCTCAAAGTCATCGGCCACTGTCGTCACACCCTCTCCTTTGCTCGATTCGCCCACAGGTATGGAAAAAGCTACGAGACTCCCGAAGAAATGAAGCTACGGTTCTCGATTTTCTCGGAGAACTTGAAGCTCATCAAATCGCACAACAAACAGAAACATCTCCCTCTAAACCATCTAAGGTTCCTGACTGGGTAAGGAAATCTGAATCTGCAAGCAACAAAAATCATAACTTGGATACTGAAAATTCATCAGAACATATGCTGGTTCTCCACCACATCCCACACCGATTTCTTCAGAACTTCCACATGATCATTCTGATTGATGTTACTTTCTCTCTCTCATTTTTTCACTTTCCCACCGACCGGGCACATGCTTCGCCAATAATATAATTCTTATTATTATTATTTAAAAAAAAAAAAAGAAAAAAAAAAACAAACCCATTGCAGGTTTTCACAAAACCGTGGGCCAAAAAAAAAAAAAAAAAAAAAAAAAAAAAAAACCCACGGTGAACCAATCTCCTTTTTCCCTCTCTCTCTCGTTTTGATTTCACATATATTCTATATTTCTTTCTCTGTTTTTTATTTTCTTTTCACTTTATTTTTAATCTTTTTTCCATTATTATTTCTTTGCAAAAAAAAAAAAAAAAAAAAAAAAAAAAAAAAAAAAAAAGAAGAAGAAGAAGAAGAAGAAAAGCAGACGAACTGCACACCAAACTCATTTTATTCATGTTGGGGTCACCCCGATCACCATTTTACATCAAAAAAAAAAAAAAAAACAACCACATCCACAGCGCGAGATTTTTCTTCTCTACTCTGCCGCCGGTCTCTTCTTCTTGCCTCCGTCCTGGCCGGCCTTTGATGGTGTTGCCTCCGTGTTTCCTACGCCGCCGAGCACGTTCACTCCCCCATACTCCTCCACTGCAGCATATGGCGATCTCCAAATCGGAACATCACTGTGGCCTTCCGCTTCAGCTTCCTTATTTTCCGCCTTTAGCACACTTATCTCTACTCGCGCATCCTTATATATGCGCTGGAGCAGAGCCAGTTGGGCGTTTAACTGCTGCACCTCATTTGTCCTACTCTGCAGCCGGTGCGACAGGTTGTGACCGCCGTCATGGTCTCCACACATGACTTCAAAGTATACTGATTGGCCTCAATATCCGTTTGCACCGCCATTTTTTGCTCCACCGACCGCATCGGAAAGTTCAACGGAGCAAAACCAGAGGCGCTTGGTTGAGGTTCACTGGCCACCGCACCAGTTATCTCTCTTTGTGACTCGTTGAGGTCGGGAAAGAGAGTGAGCAGACCACGGACGAAGAGGCCATATTCTGGGTAGCTGAACGGGAAGACGAGGCCATGTTATGGGTTGTTGAGCGTTTCAGAGAAGGGTTGGTTACAGAGTGTTTCAAGATTTGCAGCTCTTAGCGACAAGCTCTCAGAGAACGAAGAGGTTTCAACTGGTTTGTTATGCTTCCAAGCCTCAGCCTCCGCTTCGGTTTATAAAGACCATGATGAAGAGGCAGACACGCGCATCATGCGCCTCTCGGTGCTCGCCGACAACATGGGGCGCGCCTTTTGATGGCACGTTTTTTGATGGCACGCCTTTTTATAGATTGGGCACGCCTTTTGAGTGGATTGGGCACGCTTTTTATGGCACGCCTTTTGAAAGATTGGGCCACACCTTTTGAGGGTGCGACTTTTTTAGGGTCCGACAAGACTCTGTAAACTGTCCCGACATTGATTTCGGTTAGTTTCTACAAGAGTCCAGCAAGACTCCGTAAACTGTCACAACAACTGTCACAACATTGTCTGCTACAACGGTCCGACATGACCCCATAAACTGTCTTCTACATCGGTCCAACACGAGCCAGTGTCTTCTACATACATCGGTCTGCCATAACCATACAGTCTTCTACAACGGTCTGACACGACCATACAGTGTCTCCTATCCATTTTTTATTTTTCAGATTATTTTCTTGTTTTGTTACTCTCTCCAAACTCAAGTTGGTTAGTTCCTATCCCCCTTGAGTTTGCGGGGGGCTGTTAAAACCTACCATCACCTACTCCACCTACTACACCTACCACCACCTACTACATACCTACCACTACCACCTACTACCACCTACTCCACTACATCTCCTATATAAGGAGCCCCTCACCATTTGTAATTAATAACATACATCAATCAATAATACATCAATTTTAACAATAGGTGTGCTAATAAAATAATACCTGTAACAAATTCAAGAACCAAGTCCATGCAGTCAATGCCAGCTGCAACAATTGAGGAAACCTTTCCCCCATCTGAACTTCCAGTACATATTTCATAGTTTGTTGTGCAGCCAACACGTACTCCAACTAGTGCTCTCTCCAAAGCCTGAATCACAGCCAACAGATGCAACTCTGATGGTTTATTGACAAAAACTTTAAATGACATCCTTAATCTGGCTTTAAACTCATCCAAGCAGCATGGCTCACAGTAAAGAGAAGATTCAGATAATCCCTTCTGGCCAGTTAATGTCTTGGTACTTGATTCTGTGTCATGAGATGCTAAACTAGCTCTTTTTCCCTGTAAAGCAATGCACTTTCCAATAGCCATTAAGTGTAAATCTACTAGCTTCACATACACATTTCTAGACAAGACGGGATTGGTTAGAGGAAAATGACTCCCAAGCTCTTCAAAAAACTTAATGACACCATCTAACCAAACAAAAGAAAACGGTGATGGCACTTCAACATTGTTTGCCAACTCCACTAACAAAACTTGGGAAATGCCAATAAAAATTGGTACTGAGCTTAACGACAATGAAGTACAATTGATCTGCAAATTTAGCCTCAGAAGAGCTGCAGAGGCAATAAAAAGCTGTCTGAGAAAAAATGCTGCTTCAGGATTTTCACCTCTTAAAAATCCCTGCAACAAAGACTTCTTCAAAGAACATAACTCAAATGAATCACACTTGGCAAGAATACTGTCCGTACAACCTGCATTTTCTGAATTGAACCTTTTCTTCCAAACCCTTTTATCAGAGTGATCTTTCTCAGATGATGAGGAGCACTTCCTCATAGTTAGCTGCTCTTTTTCATCTAAAACATCACCAGAGCCTTGACATGAAAACTCCACCCCCATTAAATCATCAATGCCATCTGACATGGAAAGAGTTCGACCACCAGGGAAACTACCTGGCAATTGATCATCCTCAATAAGCAACACACAAACAAAATAATCTACGAACTCTGCAAACACATCTATGCAACAGATAAGTTTGTCCATAGATCCATGTTTCCCTCTCGATAATTTAGTTTTAACATCAAAACTTTTTGAATCTATGTAATCCAAGGCAGATGCCAGGCCCCACAAAAAACCTTGAGAGCAAGAAATAATAGAAGATAACTTAATAAATTCCAAAACGCTGAGACCAACTTGGACTTTTGCACTACAAAGACCTTCCCCCTTTTGAGAGACTAGTAAATACTTCGTCTGTTCCTTCAAAGTCTCAGCTATGAGGACCACAGTTTTCCAAGCATCAATATCTTTTGAAGAACACAAATATGGATCAGAATCAACCAAATTATTCCCTTCCTGGACAACAAAACAATTGTTTCGTTCTTCACAAGGCTTCTCTGCATTTATAAGGGAGTGGAGTGAACGTATAAATTGATATTTGCTTAACGTCAAAAAAGCATATGATGTGTGATCCATCAAAGAAAAGATAATGTCCTTCACTTGGGTAGCACTATCTTCAGAAACTGCACACTGAGGCACAATCACGGCAGACAATGATTTCAACAGCCATAAAACAGGAAATGAACTCTGGTCGAGTATTAGAGTGAGGCGGGATTGACTGGCTCCCATCTTCTCCTCACATGCTACCATTATTAGGTTTTTCAGGGCCCTCCGACAAGACAGAAACAATCTGAAGAGCTCATAGAGATTTTGCGAGTACAAAACACCATGGCAATCTAATAAGCTACCAACTACAAGCCTGAACCACATGGAGAGCAATTGAATCAGTGAAACTCTTGCATCAAGAAGTTATAAAAGTTCATCCCTCAGCCACAAATTTTACAGCAGAAAAAAGAAAATATCATCCATTATAATGTAATAGCCCATAATTTGTCTCTTAAAAAAGAAGTATAAATAACAATAACGAAAATAATACAAAAGACAACTGAAATCACCAACACCTAGTTCTGCATATTTCGGGTCAGCTACATGAATCTTGTTTTCTTTTACTGCTCAATTAATGGTCATCATCAGTTAAACAGCATGCTGTTAAATCTCTCCTTACAATATCAACATACAATAATTTTGCTCTTCCTCTTTCCTAAGCATTTCCCGGTCAATGCCAATTCCTCATTGGTGAGTCATAGGTCTTCGTTGCACAGATTCAAATCATCTTAGTTGATTTTTACTCATTTGATCTCCCAATAACTACTACTTCTACAATGCTGTGAGCTCATCAATTCTTAATTTTGTTATTTCTCATTTTACCACACATCCATCTCAACGCCTGCCTCACACACAACTATGCTCATTGTATAGACATGTTTTCTATTAATTGCAACAGACTTTTGCTTTCAACTTCATGGGTGTACAACCATCAGGTCCATCACACAATACATTGAAATGAAAGTATTCCTTTAAGTGCAACAAAGGTCTCGTCTCAAGAGAAATAAAAAGTAGTGAACCGATTCAATTTCAAATGCACAGACCAAATCATACGATTACATATGACATGTACAGAGACAGCAGCATGTGCGCACTTCTGTGGTGTTAAGAGACAGAAAAGGAGTGTACCTCTCAATGTTGAGAATGTAGGTTGCATATAGTGATAATGATTTAGAATTTGCATATCCTTTTGGCATCCAACACAAATAATGGAGCAAAGTTTGACAATCTGTGAACTCCATGCTATGTGAAAGAAAGGATTTCTGTTCCTTGCTGCGTTTCTTAGGCAGCCTCTTAGATGAACAAGAAACTGGTTCAGCCACTGAAGTGCAGTCATTCATAACTTTTTTGTTGCCAGAAACAAGAATTGATGAATTGTCAAGCACACTGAAAATATCCGGCCAATTGGGTGATGTCTTTAAATCTACCTCTCCAACATTACTAAATATTGCTAGGACGAACTTCTCCAATATCTGGCAAAACGTTGATGCCATATGCCTGCAGACAAACTAATACAAAAGACAGTAATGTTGCCATAAAACCTCTGGGTAGTAGTAAGATTGTATAAAAGCATGGAACAAAATCAATATGTAAAATAAACACACACAAAGGAGGGACAAGAAAGAGAAAGATTTGAATAATTATAAGTGTATTAGTTGAGGGCATAGTTGCTGAGAAGTTAAAACAATATCATGTAAATGCACTCATTGAGAGGGCATAAATGCAACAGAATGCAAGACAGAAAGAGAAAGCATATGGATGAGAGTCCAAGAATATTATCTTACTCTTTGCTCATAGAGAACAGTGTCTCTGAGAAGTTCCAATGAAATTTGACGTGTTGTGACGTTCTTCAGATGGCCGGGTTCATTAGTTTTCTGCATTGTAAAGTCATCCAAACTGTTTCCCCCCCACACAAGAGTATTCCTCATTAAAACTGAGAGGAACATTTTCAACTTCTTCTTAGCAGCATGAGTGCACCAAACATCAATACTTCGGCAAATAATCCACCAAAGTGCAGAAGGCAATGACTTTTCATTTAAAGCACCAACACCGAAATCCCATGTATCATATTCAAGCAGAGCTTGGGCATCTATATTTTTATAAGTGGCATCATTAGATGAGGAGAAAGATGTTTGGTCTTTAGCCAGTAATGGGAGGTGTCCCATCATGAAGTCGGTAAGATCTGCTGCCTCTTGCCTCAAACATGAGATACACTTTTTCAACTTTTTGCTGTTTTTTTTAGATGGTGAGGACCCAGCATCATCCATTAACGTCTGAAGTAGATATTCATTCCTTTGCAGTAGATACTCAAAAGACTTTATCATCCTATTCAAATCAACAAGCCTCTGAATAGCCATGGTGTTTAATACGTAAATCAGAGGGGCACAATCTGCAGCAGTGTCTTTAAGATAAATGTCTGACACAGACTGTACAATGGTGAAAAGAGAAGCAGAAGGCTGGAGAATCCAAGAAAAATAGCCTCCACAAGTCCAATCAGTCCTCTCCACCCAATCTTTCCCAGAGTAAGCTGTAACAGAGTCACCCATCACTTTTGACATCTTTCTAGATGTATCTGGAGGCACAAGGCTCAGTGCTTGCCGGTATAAGCTTTGACAAGAAACGTAAAGGCGAAAGAAAAACAGAAGAACCCAGTGAGTGGAAAGAAAATCATTCTTGCATCCAGTCCCACTGTCACTGAGTGTTCTTCCTGTAACTGTAGAGAGGAACTCATTAACACTATCTGGCTGTATTGCAACCAGACTGCTCATACTAAGGCGTAATACTGTCATCAGATCCTTCACAGAAACTCTAATGAGATTACTGTTACCTGCTGTTACAGTCAGTGAATCCAGAACTAGTATATATATATCAGACAAACCTCTTCCCAGAAGTTCTGCTTTTAGATCAAAGTACAGCTGGCTACTACTTGGATCCAGTTTGCCAGATTCATTTTGAGAAGCAAGTGAACAACTAACTTTGATCCATTCCAGGGATTCTGAAATATCTGCTTTTAACTGCCGAATGCATCCGCTGACTTGCCCTTCTGGTATGGAGACAATAGCATTATAAATGGCAAGCCTGAGCTCTTGTGAGCATAATACCATACTCATTGATTTTGCATATGCTTCCCAGCATAACGAAGGTGCATGAAGCATAAGTTTTGAACCAATCACTTCTCCATAATTGTCAAGTAATACCAAATGCCTCGCCACTTTACATAGTGCAGAAATAACATTATTAACCTACATTAGTTCGATGTGTAAGAATAAAACAAAAACAATAGAATTCAAAACAAAACAACATTCTAAGAAAGAGCAAGCATTGTTGAATGGGATGCAACAAAAAGTCTCCAGGACAGTTAATGGTAAGTTGCATCCACTATTTATTTTTTTTAAAAAGAGAAAATGATCTGATCACATGCCATGCCCTCATGCATACATGAATGGCAGGCTGGTAAAAGAGCATGGTTTAATATTAAACTCAAACACTAATAAATTAAACCCAAAAAAAATTAAAGAAATCAAACCACCCAATGTTAACAGCTGTCACCTTCTACAAATGTTTAAAGTAGCTTAATGTAACTTGATCAGAAAGCAATCCACTAACCTGGCGAAGTTCACTATAAAGATTAACCAGCTGGCATCCAAAGTGAAGTATCTTTGAAGTTAATGAGTGTTGATCTGGTGCATCCGGCAAAGAGAGGCCAAGGACAGCAAATGAGAACATCATGCGCCATAAGCTTTCCAAATCATCCCCAACAACCTCGTATTCAATTTCTACCAAGTAACTAAAAGCAAGAACAAGCTCCTTGGCAATTGAACTGAAAACTCCCATTTTTGTGCTCTTGTCTATATCAAGTGTTGATGGCCATAGTTGCATTATTTTGGAGGAAAATGACAAAACCAAATCATAGAACACTTTCAGGAAATTAAAAAAAGCTCCTTCAGAAATATCCTCAGTTCGTATGTATAACTTTTCATGCATAAAGCTAGCAAGTATTTTGTTGGTATAACTGAGTTTGCTATGAACATCCAACCACACATCTCCCACCTCCAGTTCAGCTTGAAGATAAATATTAAACTCTTGCAACGAAGGCTCCATAATCTGTACAAAGAAATCAAAGAGTGACTTCCTTGTTTCTGCATTCAAACTACTTGAGCAATTACTCTTTTCTGAAACTACACTATTGTTTTCAGAAGAGTTTTCAGTCATATGACCGGAAAAATCATTTTCCAAGTGCCTCAAACCTCCTCTGACTGAAGCTCCCTTCTGATTTTTAACACAATTGACAAACAAGTGAAACATCTCTCCTACACCTAATGCCAATATATTCTTCCCTGCCAAAATCTTTTCTAGCTTATCAAAAAGGTGTCTATGATAACTTTTAATGATGATTTTTGAATCTCTCGGTTTGCCATCCTCAAATGCCATATACTTTCCAGTACTTTGTAAGCTTAGAAAACCATCCATATGAGCGGCGTGGAATAACCCATAAGAAAAAACTTCTTCAATAACCTTCAGCAAGCTTTGTACCCAACCAGGATCACTGCCATGAACATGAAGATGTAACACATCCAACAAATGCAACAGAGGCTCCAGAAGCTTATCTACAAAATCATGGAAACCATTTTTCCGAGTTGGGTGGATCCTCAAAAACTTGGCGAATGGATCAAGCACAGCACACGAAAACTGCAGGAGAAAGACACCCACCTTGCCACCATCAAGGTTGTGATCGAAAATTTTCTGCACAAGCTCAAGCACTGTATCAGAGGTCAATATCCACAAGTCCAAGTTTTCATTCAAAACTCCACCATGAGATGAGAATACCAACGAAACACAACCAAGAACAAGACTGTAAAAATCAAACTCTTCACCACTGAAAACAGTTTCTTTCGATTGAGGTAACACAACATTCAATCTGGATAATGCATCCCTTGCAATACAATGAATAACCCGTAGGAAATCCCGTGAGCAGGTCAATGACACATGCAGTTTGAAAGACTCCTCCAAGCAGTACTTGAAAATCTCCCAGCATCTATAATCCAAACACGACCCAACAATTTCAGACTGAGGTTTATACCCTTGAGTCCTAATTTTCTTTTCTGAAGAAATCAACAATGACTGGACCCAATTGCTGAGGAAAACCATTACCCTTGAAATACTAACCGCCTCTAACCCTTCATTGCTGTGATCCCCTCCTTCACCAACTCTCAATTTTACATAACCAAATGCTAGTTCCACCTTTCTGCACCAAAACCCATCATTCAATAAACAAGAGAAAAACAAAAAACAAAAACAACCAAGGACTCATTTAACATGAAAACTGAGCATCTCCAATCCTTCATCGATTTTTACATCAAATTCAAATTTAATGAAAAATTTGCTAAAAGTGTAATCCGACCATTTCATCAAATCAACGGAGAGCCTATTTTTCACCAAATCAAAGATGAACCAAATCCTTCACCAAATACCCAAAAGTCATTTTTTTACTCAATTTAGAAACTTTTCTTTATGAAGTGTAAGGATTGGTGATGAATTTCTTTCATAAACAAATACAAAAAAAAATTTAAAAAAAAAGAAGAAGAGTAAGGATTGAAGTGTTATATATATCAAGCTTTTAACCAAAAAAAAAATCACTACGATGCTCTAAGTCAATGTAAAGAAACTATAATTATGAAGAAAAAAAATGTATATATCTCAATCCAAGTAAAATATATATGTTGTAGTGACAGAGAGCAAAGAAACTAACTTTTGGAGAGAGATGTCTTTGTTCTGAAGAGATAAAATTAACTGTAGATTCTTCCATGGAGGATTGTCTTGGAGCTTTTCGATTGGTTCTCTCTGTTCTGAAGCTACTTCTTTTTGTTTCTTTTTCCGTTTCTCTTTCTTTCTCTCTGAGCGGTCGATGAGAGAGGCTTTGAAAGGTCTTTGCTCTTCTCTTTCTTCTTCGGCATTTATTATCTTTCTCTTCTTCTTCGTTGAATGCTTTCGTTGTCGTTCTGATTCGGAATCGGCCATTGTTTGTGTTCCCTCCGAGAGAGAGGTGTCCGAAATTATGCAGGGTTTTGCCAAATTATATGTAGGGTTTTGTTTTGATAGTGGTTATTACTGGCTTATGTTTTAGAAAAAAGCTTGGACACTAATTAGCGTCAAACTAATTAGGTGGCAGTGTGTTTCGTCATTAATGATGTGATGTTTTAATTTTAAAATTATATATTTTTTTTTATTTTTTTAATGTATTAGTACTATTAGTGGTGATGTTCTTAGTGGGATGAATCATTATTGTTTATTTTATTAGTCAAAATAAGTATAAATAAATAAATAAATTGCACTTTGCCCTTAAAAATATGGATTAATTACCAAAAAGTCTTATCTACATATTTGGTGGTAGCTTAGGTCCTGTTAAAAAGTTTTTGAACCATTAAGTCCCATTTATAGGTAAAAAGACATTTTGCCCTTTAATCCCAAAACTGAGAATGTTCTCGATTTTAAAACTGAAAATGATCTCAATTATAATTATCAAAACTAAGAAATTTCTCAATTTTTTCTAATATGAACTAAGAATATTATTAAAACTAAGAAATTTATAATTATTCATGTTTAAAATTGAGAATATTATAAACTGAGAATGTTCTCAATTTCTCAGTCATTCAATATTAATATGCAATTTTTTCATGTAGACTTTTGTCTCTACTCTCTCTGTACAATGGCTTCTCTGTTTCGGGACAGGTCACTCGGCCAATCCAAGAGAGACCATGACTGTCGCCGCCTCTCTCTCGTCCCCATTCGGCGACCTCACGCCGACTCTCTCCCCCCGCCAACCTCCGCAACACCACCTACGAAATCTTCGTCGCCGCTTGCTGGACCTCCTCCGGCAAGTCCCTCACTTATATTTCCAGCAATTCCTCCAGCTCCGACCGATCGTCGTCCCCTTCGTCGAGCTCGCCGTCGATGCAGAGATCTCTCACTTCTACTGCTGCTAGCAAGATGAAGAAGGCGCTGGGGATCCAATCTAGTTCGAAGAGGAGCGAGGGAAGTCCATCTTCGGGCGGGAAGACGAAGAAGCCAATGACTGTGGGAGAGCTATGTGAAGTGAAAAAAGAGAGAATGAAGACAACAATGATGTTTGGCAGCTATAAGGAGGTCTTGGAAGGATAAATTGGGTAATTAAAAATTAATGGGATTTGAAGGAACAAATAATTTTATTTAGGACTTAATGGAGTATAAGTTCACAAAATAGGACTTGTATGTAAATGCTCCTAAAAATATTTTGTCATTTTGACTTTTTTAAAGTTTTTTTATTATTATTTTTTTCACTTTTTTGCTAATATTTTCTAATTTTATTGTTTACCTCCAAAATCAACATTCATCTAAATTGAACAGGAAATGTCTACAAACTTAAGCGGATCCAAACCCATTAAACCAATCCAAACTTGTCCTAAACTAATCTAAAATATTTTAATTAACTTTAACCTCCAACTTATTTACGTATTCTATTATTTCTTTGCCAACTTGTTATTATCTTCTATTTCATTATTTGTAACAATTACTTACCTTCTATCACAATAATCTTGTTCTCACATAATTTTTCTTCAACTTTGTCACATTCACTTACTGTCAGAAACGCACTATATCTTATATAATATTCTCATTTATTATGATTATCGTCAATACTTTAAAATTATCATAAATCATCTATCACCGAACTTCAAATTAACACTATCGCTGTAACCATTATTACTACCAAGAAAAATGTTTGAGAGCACTAATTAGCGCTCCCACTAATTAGGTGGCAGTGGGTCCCGTCATTAATGATGTGATATTTTGGTCTTGGAGTTGTATTTTTTTTATTTTTTTAATGCATTAGTGCTATTAGTGGTGATATTTTTAGTGGGATGAATCATTGTTGTTACTACCAATCTCTTCTCCTTAGATCACGACCACAATCTTTTCAAGTCAATACTATTGAACACTATCTCTCTCAAATTTGATTAATATTACTACCAATCTCTTCTCCTTAGATCACGACCACAATCTTTTCAAGTCATTACCATTGAACACTATCTCTCTCAAATTTGATTAATATCTCAATAGATATAAGCATGTGAATGAGATGGTGAATAGTATGTAGCCACTCTGATTTTTCGTAAATTATTATTTATTTATTTATTATTATTATTATTATTTTATTTTATTTTTAATTTTATTAATTGCGTGTGAGAGGGTAATTTTTGGAAAAAATTGGGCCGAGCTGTGAGATGGACTTTATGGCCCAAAGTACGAAGGACATGATAGAAAGGCCCAATAGAAATGTAAAAGTTACTCCGGCTCAGGTGAGGTAAAATTACTTCGGTGCAATAAGATGTAAAGCTACTCCGGTCCGGGCAACTTGGAGTTAGGTCGGTCCCAGTAATAGTCCGGTTGAGATGTATTGAGGTTAGAACGGCCAAAACACTGCTACTTGGTAGCTTGGTCTTGGAGTTGTGCCGGTCGCAATTTGTTAGTTCGGTCCAATCGTGTTATGGGTTGAGCAGAGGAGAATCGAGATGAGGAGTAAAAGCAGAACCGAACTAAGAATAGTTCGGCCTAATCAGTGGCTCTGCATAGCCAAGCTTATTTCGGTCATATCGTAGTTCGGCCAAAGTAAAAACCATCCCACTTGGTTTAAGCAGTGGGGGGTGTAAAAGGATAAGCATTATCCTTAGGAGTATGAATCCTAGGAGGACTCTGCATAGAGGAATAAGAGTCCTACTAGGATTGTGCCACACGAAACTTATAAAAAGCTCACAAACATCACCTTGGAGGAGGTAACAGAACACAACATACATTTTTGCTTCCTGAATACATTGACCTTTGTCTATTTGTCAAGTTTTCTGACTTAGGCATCGGAGAGGTTTCCGGCACACACCCGCCGGCTAGCTCACGTTTGTGTTTTCAGGTGACAAAGCGACGTCGTACGGAGGAGCGTGGACTTAGTCAACAGGATTATACGAGGATAATTATTTCTTCCCCGTACAATTGGCGCCGTCTATGGGAAAAACAGACAGAACAAAACCTCTTGACTAAGCTCCTTCTTTTCTCAATCAATGGCACACATTGAAGATTTGCCGCAATCCGCCGTCGACGGACTAACTCCAGAAGGGGGCGCAAGGCGTGAAGGATTACCTTCTGTCCCTCCCTCCCATGGCGGACTTAGAGTCCCAAAGACATACCTCCAGGAGGGATGCTAGGGGGAGACGGACTCACAGCCCCCGTCAATCCCATTCTCAAAGTCCTGACAGACAAAGCCCCTTTTCGGAAGATGAATATGCCCTACAATTCAGACTCTACCCGTGGTTCTGAATCTGATTTTACAAGTGCAATGTGAAATAGTAAAAACACAAAAAGAGTCCAAATCTAGCAATTCTATTTTGGAAAATCGATGTTTTGAATGTGATGAGTCAGTGAATAATGGTGGAACGGGTCGGACTGATCCACGCTCCTCAAGCCTATGTCCGAATGACCAAGCCTACCTGAAGACCTGCACAAGAGTTCAACGGGGAACGAGGAGTCCCCCAGCGAACCCTCCGACAAGCAAGTTAGAGAGAGAAGTGGAATACAGAGATGGAGTGATGATAGAAAAGCTTAACCTTCTTCTTGTCTTCAACGTTTGCTTATATCCTTTGGTAATCATTTCGTTATCCCTTTCGACCTATCACCTTGGCCGAAAGTCTATGCTGTAGCTTACCTTGTTCAGGGTGAGGGCGTGCTATCCCGACGGAGAGGTGTTGTCGTAATAAATGCAGTGCGGGGCTGCATTAATGGCGATGTGCTGTGGCAATAACTTTGCAGCTCTTTGTCTGCTGATGTGGCTTGCCCTTTACCTGCCACGTGTCTGAATATCATTGGTCATTCATGCCATGTTGACTTCCAAATGGTGCTGGGCTTTATCAGTTGGGTTATGTATTGGGCCCTAAGTGGTAGGCTTGGGTTGTTCATAGTGGGTTATGGCCTTTATGGGCCTACCCACGTCAGTAGTCCCCCATTCCCAAGTGCAGCTTTAGTCCAACGAAGGGAATAATGAGGAAGATGGGGGTTGAAGGTCGAGGGAAAGGAACAACTGACAAGAAGTAGCCGAGTAGAAGGACCGACCGTGAAGAGGGCCGATCGCGAGGGGTAATCGAGTGGAGGGATCGACCATGAGGAGGGCCGACCGCGAAGGGTAGCTGAGTGGAGGGACCGACCATGAGGAGGGCCGACCGCGAGGGGTAACTGAGTGGAGGGACCGACCATGAGGAAGGTCGACCGCGTGAGGTAACCGAGTGGAAGGATCGATCATGAGGAGGGCTGACCGTGATGGGTGAGGTGGCGGGGTGCGAGGCTCGAGAGACGGCACGTCACGTGATGACTTGAAGTAGAAAAGACAGGGTAGGGGAAGGGGGCAGTGAATCGTGGTTGTACACGTGGCAGCATCTCGTGGTGGGGGAGGTTAGGCGTTGGGCCAGAAGTGAAACGATAGGTCATTATAGGGTGTTGAAAGGACAGTTTTGGCGGTGTTTTGAAAAATTTTCAAACTGTCGAAATTTAATACGGACCCTTGGAATACGGGCAAACCTTGGGCCTTTGGGATTATTCGCTTTACCTATCTTTGTGCAAAACATCAAAACATTCCAAGCGTAAACTCCTTCGTTGCTAACGATACGCCCCTGTAACACTTCTTGAATTTTCTTGCGCCCGCATCCGAAGCTATTCGAAGATATACGAGAGAGATGGCACAAGAGGAAGCAACCACCACAAGGGTTGATCCCCTAGGGGATGATGACGCGGTTGACCTAGCGGAACAATATAGGAGGGAGAGGCAAGTGGAGAAGTCAGGGGAGCCGGCGGGTTTACCTCGTCCGTTGACAATGATAGCAGCTCCGAAGCCAATTAGCCAGGCTGAGCCACATCACTGGCATACGAAGGCCGACAAGTCAACTGTTACGGCGGAGAAGTTGGAGGGCATGCGGAAAAAATACCAGGTATTTGAAGAAATAGAGTTAATGTTACCGACAGCAATGGAGAGTTTGCCCTCTACGAGGAGGCATTGATGGGAGGGTTGAGGTTGCTGCTTCC